ACTACTTAATATACCATCACTATTAAATGCACCAGATATTTAAAGATAGTTATGATCTGTCACATGATGTCATGTTTTTAAGCCTGGTGTGTGTGGTTGGTTACAAGTGAAGCTATCATTACCAGTCAGTGTATTAATAGCTCTTCATATCAGCAGCATCATCTAGTTGACAGTAAAAGATGAACTGTTATGCTGAATGGACATCTCTTAATAAACAAACTCTGATGAACAGAGTAATAACCACATGAGAAAATTTCCAGTTCAGCTTATTTACAGTTAATAGCTACTTCAATACATGGTGGCTATATAAAATACTGTAAATGTACACAGTGATGTCTTTAAAAAGTTACTGTGTTCAACAGTTTCGTAATACATTTACTGCAAGCTGAAAGTTGTACAAAGTAGGCACAAGTACCCAGCTGATACTTTACAAGTCATCTTGGAGGATGTCTTTACTGTACAGTTCTTAAACATTGCAAGGTGACAGATGTGGTAGAAAGAAAAAAACACATCAAGTCTCTCCATTAACCTGATGTTTCAGTGCTTAGATCTTCATTGGATGAGACAGATGAGGTGACTTGGATATCTAATGATCTTAATTTCATTTATCCCCTAAAATGCAACAGTTGTCAAAAAAAAGTTATTTCACAGATAAAACAGTACTTCTCCGTCCATTCCCTTTGAGATTTGCCACAGTGGATTACTGATCTCCATCTCACCCTGTGCCTAGCTTCCTCTTCCATCACACCAGCACAGAAATGACATAGAAACAAAGAAAAATGTTTTTTATGAATGTGTTTGTTAAAAGGGAGAATGAAACATGGTGTATAGAGTCCATTTACTTTTCACCATCTTTAAATCATGAAACATGTCTCACTACTACCTTGGAGTACTAAATGTTGCCCTTTAACATTGATTATCCACCTGTACTGCTAAAAAAATATTTGTGTCCTTTACGTTCTTTTGTGACTAAACAAAGGAGGTTTGTGATGTTGATGTTATCACATTCATTTTGCATGCAAAAGTTTCCTGATTTGAAACCAGGAGGGGAAAAAATACAACTTGGAGTACTTCTAGTGCTGGTCACAATGCTGAAGAAATAGCTCTGTTGTGTGAGGAAAGAATTCTGAGATTAAATACCTTACTATGTCAATTCACTA